CAACCACCTATATTTTAAAAAACCACCACCACCATTCACATTGAATGTAAAAAAGAATGAGTAAGTCTTAATATGCTGGTATTGAAAGATTCCAAAGGGAGCCGGGTGCGGTGGTTTATGCCTGTAATCCCAGCACTTTGGCAGGCCCAGGCAGGCAGATCACGAGGTCAGGAGTTTGAGACCAACCTGGCCAACATAGTGAAACCCCGTCTCTACTAAAAATACAAAAAAAAAATTAGCTGGGTGTGGTGATGGCCACCTGTAATCCCAGCTACTTGGGAGACTAAGGCAGGAAAATCGCTTGAACCCGGGAGGCAGAGGTTGCAGTGAGCTGAGATTGCGCCACTGCCCTCCAGCCCAGGCAACAGTGCAAGACTCCGTCTCAAAAAAAAAAAAAAGAAAGATACCAAAGATATTTCTTAAAATATATATAAATAAGATACTTATTTGTGTACATAGTTGTGTGTATTAAAAAGGCACATATATATCTGGAGAAAAAGGCATGAGAACTAAGTGACAGTGGCTACCCATTTTCAGAGAGGTGAAGAAATGGGCAAAGTAGGGATGACAGCAGGAGTGAAGAGGGAGATGTTTCACTGTGTATGTCAGCCTTTATAGCAAGTTAGGGATTCTCATTCCATTGCTCCCTTCATCCTACTCCATCCCTTCACCCACACCCACCCCACCCCCAGAACTGTCTGGCTGTTTTGTTTTGTTTTGTTTTTTGAGATGCAGTCTCACTCAGTTGCCCAGGCGAGAGTGCAGTAGCACAATCTTGGCTCATGGCAACCTCCACCTCCAAGGTTCAGGCGATTCTCCCGCCTTAGGCTCCCAGGCAGCTGAGATTACAGGTATGCTCCACAACACTCGGCTAATTTTCATATTTTTAGGAGAGACAGGGTTTCACCATGTTGGCCAGGGTCGTCTCAAACTCCTGGCCTCAAGTGATCCACCCACCCTAGCCTCCCAAAGTGCTGGGATTACAGGTGTGAGCCACCTCACCCAGTCCAGAACTGCCTTGCTTCTGAATCGTACTCCACACCCTCACTCACACACGTACAATCACCCAGAAGCAACATGTGGCAGGTATGCTTTCACTTTCATTGGCAAAGGACTCTCTCCTCATCTTGCAAAAGTGAACCTGTACTCTCAGCATCCATAAGACCACACAAACACCACCTGTCTTGGCAAGTTGCCAGGACCTTGGGTAGCATCCACAGCCCCTCCTCAATGCTCCCATCACATTTGCTAAGCCCTTGCTAAGTGCCAGTATGCGGGAGCATGAGGCATAAAGAGAAGTAGGACAAGGTACCTGCCTTCAGGGAGTTCACAGCCTCAAGGGAGAGAAAGAAGAGGAAACAGAATTTCGAAATTATGTGGTTCAGGAAATGGCAAAAGTATACACCAGTGTAATTTACCACGTTGTATTTTAACTATTTTTTTCCTCCCTCTCACCTATCTCTCCAAGGTGAGTGACTCTGGTGTAGGTACTAGATCCACAAGTATCTTAGAATCCCCTATGCTGAGCATGGTATTGAAATGATCTGAACTTCATGTCTCCTGGAGAGCAATGCAATGGTATTTTAAGAAACAAATCCATATGTCTTAATGTTTCAGAATGGTGATCAGTATACGTAGCAATTACTAACCTGGACCTATGCAATGTATTACAATACTAGAATTTCAGCAACAAAACAAACATCTTTAACCTCAGAGATCCTCTGATCTTTTAGTCCTTGCTACACAGTGTTGGCTTTGGTTTTGTAAATGGGGAAATCATGAAAGTTGACCCCATCTGTTTGTTTGTTTGTTTGTTTTCCCTGGACATCAGTGCAATCTCACTTGCTTTTACTGGTAAGACTGAAAACTTTCACCCACTAACCTTGAATTTCTATCCATGGTTAATCATTGGTAATTTCTTACAACTTTCAGAAAAACAGTAATTCTCAATTCGACACAGGTCTGCCAATATGCATTTAAAGACCTCTTACACTTCAAACCTTGGACTTGTAGGTATGAAAAATAATAACATTCTCAGTATTCTACTCTTCACCTTTGCCCTGCCCTGAGCACTATCTAAAAACCAATGACAGAAATGAACTGCAAACATAGCATGAAGCATTGCTGCAATTAATCAACCCAGAACCCAAGGGAGGAATTGTTTCTATTTTTAAACGCACTGTTACTTTAAGGGAAAAGTCTGTGGAGAAATATGAAACCAAGCTGCATAATGAAAATAAAAATGCATTTGGTGTCTTCATCTGTGCAAAGACAGTCATCCTAATGTACAAGGAGCACTGTTGTGTTGACTCCTCAATTTGTCTGTAAACGAAATGACCGGTACTCAGACAGAATCCCATGGAAAGCTCATCTGCTACTCAAAGAATTAGATCTGTCAGAAGGACAAAACACGAGAGTACCCATATTTCAATGCTATTTTTATAACTCCAGATAAGGGACTATCACAGTAAGTAAGCAGATGAATAGATCCCAAAATCACTCTTCAAATATTTACCTAAAAGATCCTGATTAGTAACTAACGTGGTTCAGCCCGGAAAACGATCAACTGATTACTTAGCATTTGGAACCAACTGTCCACAGTTATAGATTGTATCCAAATTCCACAAAATCAAATCTGTTTCTCTTCACAAATGACAACACTTCATGTCATTAAACAGTAGCTAACAGTCGCACTCCTTATGGTTAAGAGTGACAAGGAGCAGGTGCCAAGCCAGCAAGGAAAAATAGCAGCAGCTACACAACAGGAGCTAAAAAATATTCTACCTGTTCCCCCAGACTGCTTTCAAGAATCTGACCCAATAGAATTTTTTCCCGAAACAATGTAATGATACCCAGTTTGCGGGGGGCTGGGGCGGTACATTCGTTGGTGATATGGGCATCTAATTTAATCTGTAAATATTTAATGTATTCAATGAGTTGACTTACTATCACCATGAAATATACCATACTATCTACACTGCTATAAATGCATCTAAAAATACATCCATTACTAAACAACATTCAGTACAATGTACAATAAACACTACATCCAGTGTTAAACACAACATTTTAAATATAGCTTAGCTATTTGGTATCACCACTAGAATCTGCTAAAGGTAGCAGAATGTTTGCAAACTGGATAAAAACTGCTATGCTCAACACGAAAAGCAAAGAATCTCCAATCTTATCTCCTCATGATTTATTTCCCCAAATTTGGCAAAACTGAGCTTGAACACCACACATTATAGAATGGAGGCATCGCTTCTCTAAGCAATAATGTAACAAACCCTGCATCAGAGTCTCTCTTCAGTGAAAATCTCTGAAGAACGAAATTCACTAAATTGTATTCCATCAATCAACAGGTGATTCTTGGAAACAAAAACTCATATTCATTTTTCCAATGAAAATTAATTTTGTAAACTATCCCGTTTTTTCACACATATATATTCACAACCTACTGCATTATTATATTGAATGAATTCCAACCGATTTCTTCTCAGAGGCTTACTAGAAAAATGCCAAATATTCAAATTATTTTGGGGCATTATCCCATACTGCTGCATGGAACATAATAAGGATCCAACAGTTACCACTTTTCAAATGCAAATATGTTGCCATCTAGTAAATACAGCCCCTTTTTAAACATCCCTCAGTGTCTATACAGTTCAGGGCCCTACTTTTGTTTCTTTGAAAATCAAAATTCGCGCATTACATTGAGGCATTATCTCAACTCAGCAGCAACAACAACTAAAATAGGTGTTAACTAGCCCAGCCTGAGTCTGCATCGTACAAGACTCTTGCTCTATTTTTTCCTCCCATTTTACACACACTGTCCCTAAACAATTCTGCCAAAGGAAACGAACGCTGCAGTGACGAAAAGAATCCCGGGCACTGGGTTCCACGAACAATGAGGACGTGGGCTGGTCACCTGCCGGCCTCGGGCCTCAGTTTTCCTGTCTGTAAAATGTGGCGGCTGGGCGAATCACCTATAGGGTCCCATCCGGCCCTCTCCCTCCCGGGTGCCTCGCAGCCCGCCCGGACTCAGCTGACTGGTGCTGGCTGTGGCCAGGGTGCCCTGCCTGCCGCCGCTCTAGATGGAGGGGAAGGCGGGCGAGGGAGGAGAGGAACTTGGACTTGCAACAGCTTCAAACAGGAGCGGGCGACAAACTTGAAGCCATCCTCCTAACAATAGGAAAGAGCACTCCCATTTTCCTGGCTCAAACTTGCAGGACCCCGAGAGGCTGGATCCTCCCAGCCGCCCTCTGGGAACCCGCTTTACCTTTCTCCCTGTTTGGTGTTAGCAGGAGGAGGGTGCAGGACCGTTTGATTCCCTTCCATCTCCACCACGCACTTGGTGTTCAGTTCCAGTTCTGAAAGCACAGAGAGAAAGGGACGTTGCAAAGTCCAGCATCCGCGCCGCGCGGGGCTCCGTCCCTGAAGGCTGCCGAGCCTGGAGACGGCGCCCCGGGCACCACGGCCAGCGCGGACGCCGCCTCCGCCCCGGCCGCGCTCTCGCCGTCCCGGCCCCGCAGTTTCCAAAGTTGCCCCCGCCCTCAACCCGAGCAGAAATAAAAAAGAGCGAAAAGCTCCTCACCTCGTCGGTTCATGGGCCGGACCCGGACGGCAACTTTTACCTTGGTATCCGACATGTTGGCTGCGCTAGCCCGGCCGCTCGCCGCGCCCGCTCGGCCTGAGGAGGCCCCTCACGCGCGGCGCCGCCGCCGCTGCAGCCGCGCGCCCCCCGAGCGCGGCCGCCGCCGCTCTGCCTTCAGCTCCGAGAGGCAGCGCCGAGGCGCGCGGGCCATCCCGGGGGAGCGCGACGCGGGGCACGGCCGCGGCCCGGGGAGGGGCAGGCGCGCGGGGCGGGGCGCGGCGGCGGCGGCGGGCGGGGAGGAGGCCTCGCCGCCCGGCCCAGGCGCAGCTCTACCCGCGCCGCCCCAGCGCAGACCGCAGCGCCGCGGCCCCTCGCGGCTGCCCGGGGCCCCGCGCCGCCATGTTCCGCTCCCGCCACCCGCCGGGACTCGGGAGAGGCCGGACACGGCCACGCGCGGCGCCCCCTGGAGCGGCGGGACGGCAGTGAGGGGAGCGGCGAGCGGCGCGGCGCTTAGGGGAGGCTGCAGTCGGGGGCGGGACGCATTGTTTCCCCAGGGGACCTCCCAGGCCAAGCCTGCACCGGCGCCCGCGGGGCCCCCCCGGACACCGTGAGCTCCAGCCGCCTTCTGGCGCCGCTGCCACCCGGAGCCCCGGGACGGCAGCAAGGACCACGGCCCGCCGCACTGGGTGGGCAGGCCTTCCCCTACGAGCCCCGGCACGCCGCCCCCTCTGTCCCACACGGAGCCTGCAGCGGTATTTTAAGATCTCTGTGGTGAACCGAGACTAGAAATGAATCTGTGAATCCACCACCGAAACAGTGTATGTTTGTAAATAGTGCTCTCTTCCCTTCCCGGCCTCTCTTGTCGTGGGAGGGATGTCAAGTGGGCTGGAAGGGCCATTAACTCTTACATAAGAATTTAATAGCAATGGTTTCTGTCATCCTGCCAAATGCAGACCTCGCTGCCAGGGCGGAACTGGGCGAATCTGATTTATTCTGTTTGGTTCAACAAGTGCTTAAGATGCGCTCACCGAGTGCCAGGCATTTTGAAGCGTACAGAAGTCAAAAATCCAGAGTTTAGATGCAGGAATCTTTCGATTTTGCTTAAATCTAGAAATCTACTTATTGGAAGATGTACTGAGGTTTTACTGTGTGCAGGGTGCTGTTGAGGACACACAGAAACATGCATAGCATGATGCAGAAGCACACGCTAAGGTGGAAAAGAGGGCGTGGAGACCTATTATGCTAGAAAGTGTGGGGCAGGTGCTAGAAGAGGCCTCGTCCGCCTCCACCAGGTGCCGAGCTATGGGCCTGATGTTAAGACGCTACCCTTGACTCTCAAACAACACGGGTTTGAACTGCACGAGTCCATTTACACGTGGCTTTTTTTCAACCAAAGTCTAATTGAAAATACAATATTCGTGCTCTGGCACAGTGGCTTACGCCTGTAATCCCAACACTTTGGGAGGCTGAGGCGGGAGGATCACTTGAGGCCAGGAGTTCAAGACCAGCCTGGGCAATGTAAAGAAACCCCATCTCGCCAAAAAAAAATTAAAAAAATAGCCGGGCATGGTGGCACGTGTCTGTAGTCTCAGTTACTGGAGCGGCTGAGGTGGGAGCATCGCTTGAGCCTGGAAGGTTGAGGCTGCAGTGAGCCATGTTCACACCACTGCACTCCAGCCTAGGCAACAAAGCAAGACCCTGTCTCAAAAAAAAAAAAAAAAAAAAAAGAAACAAGAAAAGACAGTATTTGGCAGGTTAAAAATAGGAGATCCAACTTTTCCTGTTTGTGGGTTCTGCAGAGCTGATCGTCAGATTTGAGTGTGAATGGTTTTGGATGATCCTGGAGCCAGTCCCCTGTGTACACTGGAAGACAGCTACTTCAGCCCCACCTTATTGTAGAGCCAGCTATCTCAGTCCACCTCTGAAGGGCCTGTTTCATCTTTCCTCCTCTCCATTCCTACTGGTGCAATCTCACTTTGCCTGTCCATTCACTTGTTCAACAAATGTGTTCTGAGCGCCCTACTATGTTACAAACACTGTTGCAGGCTTTTGCTACAGACTTTTGGCTGCTGCCCAGAAAGAGGTGAAATTTCCAGCCCTCTGGGGCTAAGAATCTAGGTCTGTGCATACCTCTTCACTTTTGGGCTACTAAGACATCTTCTTAACCTTCCTAGCTTTGCCTTCCTCTAATCACTCCTAAATCCAGCTTCCAGACTGATTTTTCACAAAATTAGAACTTTATCCGTTAATCATGCATGCTATTCTATTGTTCAAAAAACTCTCAGGCTGGGCGCAGTGGCTCATGCCTGTAATCCCAGCACTTTGGGAGGCCGAGGCGGGCAGATCACCTGAGGTCGGGAGTCCCAGACCCACCTGACCAACATGGAGAAACCCCATCTCTACTAAAATTACAAAATTAGCCAGGCATGGTGGCACATGCCTGTAATCTCAGCTACTAGGGAGGCTGAGACAGGAGAATCGCTTGAACCCAGGAGGCAGAGGTTGTGGTGAGCTGAGATCATGCCGTTGCACTCCAGCCTGGGCAACAAGAGCCAAACTCCATCTCAAAAACAAACAAGTAAACAAACAAAAAACCACTCTGGCCTACCCTATTTAATATTACCTCCCACCATTCCTGAAATTCTTCACTTTATCCAGGACCTTTTCACAAGCAAGATGCCATCCCTATGCTAAGTCATTGCTCTGGCAGTTTCTGTCAATGGGAATTGTAGAGGGTTGAATTTGTATCTCCCAAAAAGGTATGTACAAGCCATAACCTCCAGTACCTGTGAATGTGACCTTATTTGGAAACAGGGTCTTGGCAGAAATAATTAAGTTAGGATGAGGCCATACTGGGTTAGGATGGGCCCTAAATCCAATGACTAGTGTCTTTTTTTTTTTTTTTTTTTTTTGAGACAGAGTCTCGCTCTGTCGCCCAGGCTGGAGTTCAGTGGCATGATCTCAACTCACTGCAACCTCCATTTCCAGGTTCAAGCAATTCTCCTGCCTCAGCCTCCCAAGTAGTTGGGACTACAGGCGTGTGCCATCATGCCTAGCTAATGTTTGTATTTTTAGTAGAGATGGGGTTTTGCCATGTTGCCCAGGCTGCTCTCGAACTTCTGACCTCAGGTGATCCACCCACCTCGGCCTCCCAAGGTGTTGGGATTACAGGTATGAGCCACCGCACCTGGCCTGACTAGTGTCTTTATTAGAGAAAGGAGAGGGGGATTTGGATACACAGGGAGGAAGACCATGTGAAGACAGAGGCAGCGATTGGAGTGATACAGTCACAAGCCAAGGTTTGCCAGGAGCCAGCAGAAGCTAGGAAGAGGAAAGGAAGCCTCCAGAGGAAACGTGGCTCTGCTGACACCTTGATTTGAGACTTCTAGCCACCAGAACTGTGAGACACTAAATTTCTGTTGTCTTATGCCACCCAGTTCATGGTCATTTGTTACAGCAGTCTTAAGAAACTAATACAGAGGCCAGGTGCAGTGGCTTATGCCTGAAGTCTCGGCACTTTGGGAGGCCAAGGTGGGAGGATCACTTGAACCCAGGAGTTTGAGACCAGCCTGGGCAACATAGGGAGACTCTGTCTCTACAAAAAATAAAAAATTAGCCAGGCGTGATGGCATGTGCCTGTGGTTCCAGCTACTTGGGAGGCTGAAGCAGGGGGATTGCTAGAAAGCCTAGGTCAAGGCTGCAGTGAGCCATGATTGTACCACTGCACTCCAGCCTGGGCAACAGGGTAGACTCAGTCTCAAAAAAAAAGAAAGAAAGAGAGGAAGGAAGAAAGAAAGAAAAGGGAGGAGGGAAGGAAGGAAGGAAGGTTGGTTATACAAAATTTAATCAGTCCCCTCTCTGTCTCACTTTCTCCTTGTCCCTCATTCTCTGCCAGATCATGAAAGCCTTGAGTGCCTGAGAAATTTCATGTTTATTGCAAAGGCAATAGGAACTGAATGAAGCATTTGAATTTGGAGCCAGGGATTGACATATTCAGAGCATTGATTCAGGGTAATTAATTTGGCAACACTGTATCCATCCAGAGGGCTATTGTAGTCATCCAGATGAGAGGTGATGATGATAGCGTGAACAAAGCCAATGATAGCACAAATGGAGCAGAAGGAACAGATGCAGAACTTACTGCAGCGAGAAAAGTGGAACAATTTAGCAACCAATGGGATGTGAGGATTGAGGGAGGGGAAGGATTGCAAGTGACTGAGAAAGGGATTGGGAGGATGATGGCCCATAACACCATGAATGGATGAGAAGAATAGGTCTTAAGGTGAGAGGGGCATGATTCATTTGGTGTTACAGGTTAAAAAAGCAGTTCCTGGCTAGGCGCGGTGGCTCACGCCTATAATCCCAGCACTTTGGGAAGCCGAGGCGGGCAGATCACGAGGTCAGGAGATCGAGACCACAGTGAAACCCTGTCTCTACTAAAAATACAAAAAATTAGCCGGGCGCAGTGGCAGGCGCCTGTAGTGCCAGCTACTCGGGAGGCTGGGGCAGGAGAATGGCGTGAACCCGGGAGGCGGACCTTGCAGTAAGCCAAGATTGAGCCACTGCACTCCTGCCTGGGCGACAGAACAAGACTCCGTCTCAAAAAAAAAAAAAAAAAAAAAAAACAGTTCCCACTGCTTCTTTGCAGAATGACTCTTCTTTCTGCTTTTCCAACCCTTTCCAAATTTAAAGACCAGATTAGTCCTCACCTCTTCTATGAAGAGTTTACTAGTTGGGCATGGTGGCCCATACCTGTAATCCCAGCATTTTGGGAGACTGAGGTGGGCGGATCACTTGAGTCCAGGAGTTCAAGACCAGCCTGGCCAATCCAGTGAATCTCTGTCTCTACTAAAAATACAAAACAATTATCTGGGCATGGTGGCACATGACTGTAATCCCAGCTACTTGGGAAGCTGAGGTATAAGAATTGTTTGAACCCAGGAGACAAGAGGTTGCAGTGAGCCAAGATCAAGCCACTGCACTCCAGCCTGGGTGACAGACTAAGACTCTCTCTCTCAAAAAAAAAAAAAATTGTGTTTACTAAACATTTATTTTTCAAATCAGTTTAGCCTTACATCATTAGGAATTATGCCTTTTTAGAGTTTGAAGGTGCCTTTGGGGGTCCTGTGGACCTTTTTACAGCAGCCCCCAAAGTGGCCACCCATTCTGTGCTTGAATTCTGGTGACAGAGTGCTCAAATTTGAAGAGAAGCTGAATTCAGTCAGGGGACTCATCAAGTTCTTCGCCTAGGAAAGGCCTCGGTGAAGAATCAGATTTGCATCCCTGGGCATTCCACCCAGTGACAGAAGTGCTGCCTCCTTGTGCTTCCCACGCCAAATTTTTTTTTGAGACGGAGTCTTGCTGTATCACCCAGGCTGGAGTGCAGTGGCGCAACCTCAGCTCACTGCAACCTCTGCCTCCCAGGTTCAAGTGATTCTCCTGCCTCAGCCTCCCAAGTAACTGAGATTACAGGCACATACCACCACACATGGTTAATTTTTTGTATTTTTAGTAGGGAAGGGGTTTCGCCATGTTGGCCAGGCTGGTCTCAAACTCCTGACCTCAAGTGATCCACCTGCCTCAGCCTCCCAAAGTGCTGGGATTACAGGCATGAGCCACCATGCCCAGCCTCCAAATCTAACTCCTGCTATACCTGAAGCCCCTCAGATACTTGAGACTGGCTTTCACATCCTTCTGAAGACTTCCGTTCCCCTAGAACTGTTTCCGTTCCCCTAGAGCTGTTTTGGTTACTGTTGTAGTAAATCCCACCAAAATTTAGTGTCTTAAAACAACAATCTAGTGGTGTGTGCCTGTAGTC